TTGTTGACAAGCACCTGCGTTGTGAAAAACAGAGAGTTTCGGTCCTGATAGTTTACACGAACACGAGTTCTTTGTCGTTTTATCCAATTTTATATTTGGCTAAGAAAATGTTTGCTCATTAACTTCCCGATCATTTTAGATTAAACATTTGAATCTCCACCGTTATGCTTTCATCGAGCGGAGTGGTCTCTGGATCCCGCAGCTGTACACCATACCTTAATTGGCCTCCAAGTGAAAGTCTCGCGACGATGCATTGAGAGCAATGAAAAGCTAACTCGATCGTAAATGACACTCTTCCAGATTTCTAATCTTGAGTGATAAGTTTTGTAGGATAAAACGGGTGATTATACAATAGGTGAGCAAATATGTGACACCTTTTTACTTCAGTGGTTTCCAAGACGGTTATTAATAACAATTGTGATGTCTTAGGAAAGGCTCATCGCATAGCCACATACCATTCCTGTATGTCAGCATAAATTGCAGTTATCCGCAATACTCGTTTCACCGATTGGATGGAATCCAGATAGATATGGTTGAGCGGTAGGATTATTTAAACACGAAATCCCACCCTCCCTAATTACGTTACATGCTGTCCTTCGTTAAATGCCTGCTTTTAGGTTTGTGTTCCTACCACTAGCTATGGCTACGCGTAGCGCCAGCATAATTCCTAGTCCTGGAATCCGGTTTCCAGACATGAAACTCCAGCTTCTGTAGAACTGCCAAAGTGGAACAGTAACGTTGCAATCAAGTATCCTATAAATCGTACAAATTCGGACGACTGGCATAGTTGGCTAACGCCAGAGGCGGATCAACCAAGATGGCCTCAAAGAAGTGGTAGGGGTATGCAATACTTTATTAATTTCTTTAGCACTCTATTCTGGTGAATGTACTAATTGAGGGCCCCACTATTGTACTTTTATTGAGACTAGGCACCTGGCAATAGTCCCAAACCATACACCTTGTCGTACAAGCGTGCAATATGCCCGCACTTCATACACCTTCAGCTCGTCTGTATTCTCATACCAGAAAATCAGAACATACTGACCATCTGCCGGAGAAATATTTAAAGAAACGGTAATCCTCTTTCTTCACAATATTTTAAGTGGCTCAATCGGAAAGTCCAATGCTTTGGTGGAATCCTTGAAAAGCGCCGCTAGTTGGATAAACGTTAGTTCTTTAAAATAATAATCGCTTTTGTAATTAAAGGGGGATTTCACCGTTTAGAAGCATAAGAATTTGTTGTACTGTAAATTCGTTCCTTGACGCTTGCAGCCAACAGCACACATGTGAATAAATCCGGTGAGAAATATCAAAAGAGAAAAGCCTAGTTCCATCTCCGAGCTCTAAAATTTCTAGACTGCGATGATCGCTTCTCCCATTTGGCAGATATTGGCATTGTACATGGAAAGCACCAAAAACCTTTTGAAGCAAAGATTTAAATAGTTTATAACAGCACATTCTGTTACATTCGTACAAAAATTGCAGTTCTCTGAATGTCAACTCGGATCCAGACCTTTTGATGTAGTTCCAACGATTTTCCCACAAAAATAAAGTTGGTCTTAATTGCAATGTTCACGATTAACCTTAATGCTAAGTGGTTTAAGCGATTACTTTACTTTAAAATCCAAAAGTTACCTTAATGGCTATTTTACCAGTCTTATTTACGGTAAAATGAAACGTTAATGTCAGCGTCACGCAAAACTACATAAGAAAATTTACAAGGATTGATGGCGGGGCGCAGAGTTCTCGACTAAATAGACCCAGAGAAGTAAATCTTCTGATTACGCAACTTGGCCACAACATGCGTAGTTAATTTCACAGAGCGGTTGGTTTGTGGTTCTGCAGAGTTGTAGAGGCGTATGCGCACTTTGCTTCGTGAACCTTTTACCCACTAAATTCAGCAGACTGTATGATGGATGCATGTGTATTTTATTTTTTGGCCGAAAAAAATCGCAGACTTCCGCTTCAAACTGCAGAGCCCATCTCGCTCACTTTACTGTTCGAAGATGCCTACGATTCCATCAAAATGAAGATGACCAAACTGTGAAAATTTGAATGATCTCACCATCTTGGTAGTTCCTTATGATGTTTTTAGAGGGTACTAAAGTCTAAAAGTTGAAATATTGGGTTGAGAATCCGGACAGTTCCAGAATACTGGCTTACAACTAAGTCGACCCGACAAAATGCCTTGGCACTCCTTGAAAGCCGTGAATCTCAAAGTCTTTTTTTCGAAACAGAAGAATCAGCTCTGAACGAACTGCTACCTCAGTTAACTCTTACACCATTTGCTATCCATTTAGCAATTTCCTTATGCTGAGACATTTCCTGACGCATTCGTTTGTGAGACTGTTCTGAACAGCATTGATGCTATTTGCCACTGCTATCCATTAAATACAGTCTCAAACTTTAAAAGCGTAATCATCCTTCTTTTCTATGGAAATGCGACAGCTGGTTTACTAATCAACATTTAAAATCAACCTTGATCAGCGAAACTGTAGGAGACAAAAGTGTAAAAGGTGGTGGCACGCAAAACATCTACAAAACGGACAGTTTAAGCAGACAAAATGCACATTTAAATTCCAAAAAACCGACGTTTTAAGCGGCCTAGAAACCAACGTGGGAATTTTTCTGAAAATAGAACTAATGACGTCACTAATTATGTGGCCAACGTTACCATGAGAACGTGAATTTATTTAAACATGAATGTACAAAGAAGAGAATTGAACTAACTCATGGATACTCTGTAGAAAGAAGCCTAATTTATGCAAAGAGACGCTTACATCGAAGGATTGGAATGTCAAAGCCACAGAGAAGCCAGTTGGAACGACAATTTTCCAGATGCATTCCTTGTTGGGTTTATAAAATTCTGGATAGCTTGGACTTGTAATAATACCTTCCTCCTGTATTACCTCACCCCCGCAAACGGCTAAGTGTATATCATTAGTATTAATACATGCTTACCTTGATACTCAGCCACAAACCCTGTACTGAGAGATCCAGAAGATCGTCTATACTCAACCCATAGTCTTGACTTTGTGGATATTATCATTGGTGGAAGGGTTTTGCCGCAGTACCTTCCTAGGGCGCAAAGCATTTTAGGATGATTAAGATATCCACCCACCTATCAACGGAGATCCCGAATAGTATCCATCTCGAATCTCTACATAGTCGTTGGTACAAGCAAGTTGGGAAGGTCCCCGACTTAGTGCGAGTCCGCCTCCTCCGCCTACTGACTTTAGGTCGTCGTGCTGTTGAAAAATGTCCAGGTAGGTAAAATTAAGATGGATTCGCTCTCCCATTGCACCAATAATTCTCCACTGGCAGAACAGAGGTCCCGTCGAAGCCAATTCCAAGGAAGAGGGAGCTGCTGATTCACTGTTACCAGTATTCTGGTCGTGTAACTTCGCTGTGATTGAGGCGAATTTCGCCCATCGACTATCGTCAGAGATCATCAAACCTTGATGATCCCCCACCATACCCGAGAGACGATGAGCGGTTGGCAGTTCCTGTGTCAGAGGGTGGTAGAAGGAGGCAGGGTCCGTGAGAATTTCAGGTGAGTTGAAGTCAATATCCGGTACGGAGGCGGTATTGTAGTCGTGGCTGTTGTGAATCACCCAAGACATCTGTGGCGAAGCGAATGTACCTGATGGCTCCATTAGGGTTCTGCCACAGGCTAAAATTCAAGGTAGAAGTCGGTTTTCACAATCAATCTGGGTTTGGTTTCATAAACCCAGGAGTTTTTCTTACTGTAACTTTTCCGTTTCCACGAAAAACGACCCTAATAAACGAACAAGTTGACACTCAAGTATTTATCCATCTATGAATCAAAAATGTGACAACGCCAATACAAGTGAAGCATCCTAATGCCTCGAAGGTCTATCGGAAAAAATAAATTCAGCTTCACAACATTGTGGGAAACTATGAGGATAGCCTAACGATAATTATCTAGGAGTCGGAATAAAATTACCTAAACACAACTCATATGGAGATCCTAAAAGCACTTGCAAATTTCAGGGAAGTTTGGGTACCTCTTATACTCGTGGTTTCTGTTAAGTTTTCGCGCCACAAATGTGGCGAACCGTCTGGATGGAAGCTGTAGTAAGAGGGATTGGTAGCCAGTTTCCATCCAAAGGTCTTACTACTTCAGACCTAAGGTCATTTAAGCCCACAAGGCCATGAATAGCCCATGTTGAAACAAGTTTTAAAGTTTTCAGTACTTCAAAAATCGCAATTATAGACAGGGAAATTCGCGTCCCGTCTTAATAAGCAGTGTGGAAATTTCTAAGCTCCCTTTTTTCAAGTAGGAAGTTGGAATTCGGCTTAAATTCAGTTAAGTGAGATAATATTTATCCAAAGTTTGGACTTGCACATAGATAGAGAGCTTCAACACTTCCAAGGATTTCACCAGTTTAAGCCAAGACAGAAGACTTATTAACATTTGTTTGTAAAAGTAACACAAAAACTTTTGATTGGAGCAGAGGTAAACGTCAGAGCATTAAAAAGACCATTCACTTGACTAAATAGCGGTACGTGAAGTCACCATTTACCCACAAATTCAAGTATCCAGTCAATGGGAAGGCCAAGACCCTATCAACTTTAGGAAAAAGGACTTTAAGGCACGACTTATTGAATGAGCAATTATGTTTTCCTTATGATGCGGTACAACTAAAATGAAAGCTGTTTATTTGCCTAGCTTCAGCTAGAATATTCAATGAAATAAACACTGACTGTAGTAGCTGAAATCCATCGCAGACCTGTGCCATCTCGTTGACATAGTTCACTTCACAAACGTTTGATGGCATCAGTATGAAAAAAATTTATTATATGTACTGCCACCTACAGTTGTAACTGCTTGTAAGTCAAAGGGGTCTAGTTCGTGTCTCAGGAAAATATTTCCAAGTTTGAATGTTCATTTAAAGGGATAAGAAAACTGTGACCGAACGTCCGTTACGTCGTAAACAATGCAACTTTGGGAAAATTTGAGGTTAACTGTTCACTCAACGAAAAAACAAGAACCTGAATAAACATAACACATCGAGTAGCCAGTATTTATTTATCCATTCAAATTGGCTTCTATTCCAAGATTTCCTGGATTGGTTGGCTGACCTAACTTAAAGCTGCATAACCTTTAAAAATTTAAAGCGCCGAAACATCTGTCTCCTACTACCAGTCTTACTTATGATTCACTCACTCATCTCCACATGAGTACATTTCTTTCGATGAGAGCTTACATGGACATCCATAGAGCTTGTTGGTTTGTCGGACGTCACCTGGGCTGAGTTGAATGCGCTGACCAATAGGCGGACGGGGACAACAGGCTTTGGGCCGAATAGTCTCATCCTTGTTGGCTTTGGCGAAAGTGCCCTTTGCGTAGTGCATGATGGAGCTATAGTCGTAGGGCTCCCGCAGCGAATTCACTTCACCGGAGTCCATCTTCTTGAAGTTAAAGTCCTGCCCCTCTACAACGTTCTCCAGCAGAATTTCCACATGATCTAAAGAAAAGGGAAAGAAAAGGCTTATTCTCAAGTCCTCTAGAGCTTTGTTAACACTATTAGCGGCGGAATGTACAACTTTGCTATTGGTTATCAGTAAACTGGAAAGACAGATGAAAAGACCGATCGTACGAGGCCTTGCAAGCACAGCCCGTTTACACAGATGACTATAATTGGTTCGTATTGCTTCAAAAGCGCACTAGCAACTTTTAGCCCACTAAGTTATGAAAGCGAAAAGCGGGGGACTTATTCAACCCTTCCATACAACCTTGCACTGACGTCCTTCGGCCTCTAAATTCCAGAAACAAATCTTCACGCAAATGAGCAAGAAGTTAAAGGACGGAAAACAAAAATGAAGAAGGGCATCAAACACGGGTACACAAACGCAGCTGTGCAGGGATAGGCATGTGTGAACGTCAGTTGTTACTACTAAGGCACAAGTTACCAAGTATCCAAGATGCATGCTTCACATATGTTTACTCCCATTTCGATGGATTCGTTGCAAATACCAAAGCAACCCAAAATTTAGTGTTTAGAGGTGCCAATTGTTTTTCCCATGTTTTGCTACCAACTGAATAAGAACTTTGAGCTATTAACAGATTAATGTACTAAACCGAAATTTATAAAACATCTGAGAAATGAGGAAAGTTAACTCACCGTCTCTGTCGGGTCTTGTGTGCTCGTGCCAAAATCCAATGACATGACCCAACTCGTGAATGACAATGCCCTTTTTGTCGCAGTTCTTGCCGATTGATATAGCCTGGGGTTCATCCTCACTTCGACGGCCTACGTAGGAGCAGCATCTGAAAGAAGAAGCAATGCTCAATTCTCCAGATTATTTCTTTATTCCTTCTCCCGTGCAACAGAGACCTACGAGCAAGGACTAGACCTTGCACCGCAAAATCTGAAGTTAGCGATTGCGAATTATTTGTCTTTAAGTTAACTTAGGCCTGGGGTTTGGTTCTCAATATGAAGACCGAAACGAAATTTTCAAAGGCGACGGTCAATTCGTCACTTTCATGTTAGGGTCAGGCTGATGCAGCCAATCAGGTTAAAGTGGGAGAGAGCCTTCCAGTATCTCGAAGGTTGTAATTTACTTTTAATCGAGGATTGGAATTTTGTAAATTGCTTCGAAAAAACGCTTACCCGCATGGCTTGACAGTGAAAATGATGTAAGATTTGTGTTGAGGTTCTCGTTCAACAAAACTCAGGCATGTATGGTTTTCCCAATGCCTCATGGCTTTCATGATAGTAGCTTTGGTTTCACCTAAAAATTAAGCAAACAAAATAATTCCAAGTCGCTTATATGGGAAATTTTGCTAAAAAGTGTTTATACATATTTGAGACTTCAACGTCGAACTAGTTTCTAGGATTATTCACAAGGTAACAAACGCGTACAAACGGGTAATAATCTTTTTCAGTTTCGTTCCTGGTATTGGAGCATCTTCTCTGATTGTTCAGTGGCATCGAATCGACATTGACATTTGACGTCATGTCCCACAAGGACCTCAGCATTTAAAGAATTTTAGTAGACATTTGTAGGACCCACGGAGAACCCTAGACACGTCGTTCTGATGATACTTTTAACCTACCTGGATTGGACATAATCGCAGCCGATGTAGAGTGCCATTTGTCATTCTTTCTTAAATTACACTCAGACACTATCATCTACCATGTAGAGCATAAACGTATTGCTTTGAACAAAAGCAGTGGCAGAGAAAGCTCTCTGTAAACAGACCGTCATTGCCGCCTAGTTGACCAATTCAGTACAATGCAGACACGCGGAAAGAGAAGACAGGTAGTCAATGTTAATGCCATAATTTAAACCAAATGTGCGGCGCAAAGGTAATGAGAAACCATTTTAATTCCCCCACGCTTCAAATCTACGGAAATTGGCCGAGCAAACTATTAAAAACAAGACG